GGCGGCGATCTTGTCAGTAGGAGCTGGCCACGTCCCCCCTTCCTCTTCTCTCACTGTCCTCCAGCTTTGTCCCACCATGCGAGGGGCTCCTGGCTTTTGCTGGATGTATCTGGTGGTCCAAGACTTCCCCCTGCTCTCCCTGGGGGCACTTCACCTCCACAGAGAGGCTTCTCCAAAGTGTGTGGCAAATTCTGGAACAACCTGCAAGCAACTTCGCTATAACCTCAAAACTGTAGGATACAACCCCAGCAGAGCCAAGGGCAAGCAGGAGGCGAAGGAAGAGAGAGGAGCCCTAAGGGACAGTGCTGGCTGGCTGGTTCATGTACCAAGTGGGAAGTGTGTGAAGGGTGTCTTGTCCCAGACTGGGAAGCTTTGGGGACAGTTTTGGCAGAGTAATGTGCTCTGCTGTTACTTCCCCAGCATCACCACTTGACTGCAATGGGGAAAGCTCCGTCTGTCAACACAGGAGGGCCCATAAATCATTCCCAGGGATGGAGGGTGGCAGAAAGGTGAGAGTGACAGAGACGAGCCAGGGATGCTCAACAGTGGGAAATCAGTGATGGGCAGACGTGTGACAGCATGAGGCTTCGCTCGGTGCCTCTGATGACATGTACACCGGTGGTCGAAGACTTATCCCAGCTTTCTTCTGGGAGATATTGCCGCTGAGAGAGAGACTTCGCTTTAATGTGTCAAGCATGGAACATAATACTTGTGAGGAATTTGACACTACAAAGCCACAGAAGAAATCATTAAAGGGAAATGTTCTTCGCAGCGGAGGTGGAGAAAGAACAACACATACTGTCATTGAAGGGCAATGATGGACTGATTTTTATAGGCCCAAACCTGTGGGAAAGGGGGCTAAAGGGACTTAACCTCATGAAGCGTGACTGAACAACATAGCACACTAAACTGTCTGTGTGAGGGACTCTTAATTCTCTCTTCCAGGGTCCTGAAGGTAACAGCAGGCCTAATTTGCCCTGATCCCTCCCGTTCATTCCCTCCCCATGGGACCAGGGGCTCCAGTTAGGGTCAGGCCTGAGGAGCCAGGCTTTGCCTGAGCTATGTGGGAGTTCTGTTCCACCTCTCTGAAGACCTGTCTCCATCCTCCTGTCACAGATGGACCCTGAGCCTATGCTCTAGCCTTGTTGCAAGTCTATTCCTGGCCCCAACTCCTGCAGCTCCAGGCTGGACCCCCTGCAGAGGCTGTGGACCTCATTCATTACCATGTGTTCACCACATCAAAATCGAAGGACACCCTTGGAGGACGTCAGTCTTAGGGATGACAAGCATAGGCGATAACTCCCAAGAACAGGTTATTCAGAAGATGGAAAACACATGAAAAAGGGAGAGAAAATAAGCAATGAAAATGCCAGTCCCCGTGATGCTAAAGGCTGAGATTGTGCCACTGGAATCACTTGTCGATAAAAGCACATTTGCAGCATGACGTACCCCACAAAATGTAATCTCAGAGGAGGCACGTGCGTGCCAGGGATGTGATTAGAGGCAGTGGGCAAAGCCCTCGTGCTGTTCTGTATCTGAATACCAGTGATATCTCACGGCAAGTTGAGACAAGGCCCGTGCTCTGCCTCACTGGCTGCTGTTGAGGGGACCCTGTTGGCACCCCCAGGTGCAGGGAGTGGGTGTATGATGAGGCCTGGGTGGGTGAGGGAAGGGATGGGCATGACCAAGAGTGATCCTGTGCCTGAGGAATGATGGGAAGAAGAAGGAGAGTTGAGGCCATGGAACTGTCAGGGATTTCTGAGGGGTTTCTGCTGGTTCATCCCCATTGTTGATGGTCCCTGGCTCATCTCCCTCATTCTTATTTTTCTGCCTCCCTCTTGCCCTGCCAAATCTCTTCCCCATCATCCCTGTGGCAATGCAGGCCATAAGGACAGTGAAGGAACAGAAGAAATTTAGGGGAAGTCTTCCACCACCAGCTTTGCACAGCAACACCCAGGAGATGCCAGCACAGTGAGATGAAGCTGGAGGACGGGGATGCAGAGATCCTGACCAGAAAACCGTTGTACACCAGGGAGTTAGTGAGCCTGACCAGGATACACCAGGGGGTTAGTGATCCATGAAACACTCGACCTGAGTAGTCCCAGCCCTGTGCTGGGCCGTGCCATGCTGTGCATCTCCCTCCACCATGGGATAAACCTGGTCGATTGACGGTGAGGGAGGAGCCTGCAGGCAGCTCTGGCTGGGTGCTGCTGGCGATTACACCGCCTGCATGTCCTTGCCTTTGTCTAAGACTGCTGCAAAGGTTCTCATGTGAGCATCTTTTTTTTTTTTTTTGACAGTAAAATGAGTTGTTTTCTTTTTTAAGAAATTTAGAATTAAGAAATTAAGAAAATAGCTCAAATGTCTGTAACGGGATAATCTTTCCATGGACAGGATGTGCCCTGACCAACGATGTGTTTGATGCTGCAGGACCTGGGGTTCCTAGCACCTGAAGGGACATAAGATTACCTGTGCTATCCTCTCCTTCTTCATCGCTTTAAATCTAGTAAATGGCATTTAAAATGATACTTTACGGAGTCTGAGTGCTGTTCTTAATGGGATCATAACAGATCAGCACCTCCTGGTGTAAAACTGGGGGGAGGAGAGGAAGGGGGTGATGTGGCCAGCTCCTACTGACAAGATCGCCGCCCATGGGACATGTGAGGGGAAGCTGTCACCGACGTGATGAGATTGGGAGGGGAGTCTCCTGACCACAGGTCCTGATCTCTGCACAAAGGTCTGCTCCCCAGGCACGAGAGACGAGGCCGAAGCAGAGCAGGGTGGCCCCAGCAGCCCTCACCATCCCATCCCCTTTTCTCCTGGCAAGCCTGGCCCCGAGGAGGCCCCATGTGCTGGAGCTCCCTCAGCATCACTGTTCCCAGGAGCCCCGGGAGGTAGGAGGACAGGGACGGGCGGGTGGGAGCTGCCTCCTGGCCAGGGCCAGGGCTGGAGGGGTGGGAGGCTGTCCTGGGCACGGCAGGGGATGGGTCCTCCGCGGTGCAGGTGGTGCCGGCATGAGGCTGCGAGAAAAGATGGTGAGTGCCGGGAACATCGACACCCCTCATTTCCTTCTCCTTCCCATCTCTCCTAGGCACTGGTGGGAGAGGGAGAAGGTGGCCACCCAGAGCAGGGTCATTTGCCATGGAGGAGATCACCACCACAGACCTATCTCAGTTCAATGATTCCTCGTATGACGGAGCAGGTGGGAGAGACAGCCTGTCTTGTGAATCACAGACTCTTGTGGTTGACTTTTTCACACTGTTTTGGTGGGGTGTTTGGCTCGGTGGGCTGCTGGGAAATGTGGTGGTTGTGTGGTTTCTGGGCTTGCACATGAAGAAGGGTCCCTTCACTGTCCTGAACCTGGCCACCGCTGACTTCTCCCTCATCCTTTTTTATTTGTTGTCAATTTCTTTTACACAGCACAGGGTTGGGTTTTTTTGTTTGTTTGTTTGAACTTCCCATTTATGATCTTCACTGTAGTTTACCTCCTATTTCTCTTCTGTTACCTTAGCAGCATGTGTCTCCTGACAGCAATGACTGTGGAGCGACGTGTCTCTGTCCTCTTCCCAATCTGGTACCGATACCACTCATTAGGCACCGTGTGTGGAGTGCCCTGGGCTTTGCTTGGCCTTTTCATTTGCCTAAATTCTCCTTGCTGTAATTTTTACTAATGTCTGTCAGCGGCAACATATCCAGAGGTTCAGACCTTTCGAGTTCCCTCATATTCTCCGCCCTGCTGCTGCTGTCAAACTCAATCCTGTTCATCAAACTCCAGTCTTGCTCGCTGAGGTGTCCCCCAGGGAGGCTGTACGTAGTGCTTCTGCTCACCAATCTCTTAATCTTTGCTGTTCCTTTCACTGTTGAAGTTTTGGAAGGCTTATTCATTGAACACGAAGATCTCAGAAGTTCATTGTCTTTGCTGGTGGCTGCGAAAATCAGGATTAACCCATTAATTTACTTCCTGGTGGGGAAATACTTGGCAGCGCCGGTTCGAGGACTTGGTGAAAGCTGCTCTCCACTGAGTGTTCGAAGAGAAAAACGGCGTGTAAAGTGGGGAGATGGCTGCCTGGGGAGGTGGCTGTGGAGGCGGCTGTTTGGATCCCTGCTGGCATGGGGAGGGACGCTGGGGCTGCTCTCATGGGCTGAGCTGGTGATGTGCCTCCTTTGCCTGGGGCTGTGGTGGGGACACTGTGGTCTCCTCGAGGCTGGTGCCTCTCCTCGTTCCTGGTAAGAGGCAACGCTGCGTGAGGGGCGCAGAGCAGGTAGAGCAGGGGAGGAGGAGCAACCCCGGCTGTTGGGCAGGTCTGGACCCCACATGCCAACTTCTCCCTTGCTTTGACTTCAGGCCAAGCCTGGAGGGCTCCAGTCTAGCGTGGCAGCCCATGGGAGGCTGCTCCAAGCTGAGATGGGTTTTGTTTCAGCTACCTCAAACTCCTACGGAGACATCCAGGAGTGCAAAGGCCATGTGCTGGGGGGAGCGGGGAGCGCTCAGGCAAGGGAATGTGGTGGGTCAGCCAGGGCTGAGGATGCTGAGCCCCCCAGGCATCCCGGGGAGAAAGAGTGTCCCCATGTTCTGCTCCCTTTGGTAGGTGAATGAGTCTTTGTGATCTTTTGAGGGATCTAAATTTGCTTTTTCGAAGCTAGGTTTATATCAGAGAAAGAAGGAAAAAGTTCTGATCAGAACATTCAAAGAAATAACAGGGGCCCACAGCCTTTCTTTTTTGTTTGCTTTTCTTTTTACAGGGTAGCCCTTTCACTAATGCCATTTCACGTTAGTTAACAAGGTTTGGAGTTGATGACTGAGTACAATATTATTTCAGCAGAGATTTCACTAGAAACTTTGATGCCTCCCCACGGTCTTCTCCCCTTCCCTAGTTACGCTCTCAGCTCCACTGATGTGTTTATGAGATCTCTGTTTATAGCAGGGTCACCTGGCACACTTGTGATTCCTGCATTGCTGGAATCCCTCCTACCCAAATACTTTACATTTGTTTTATTTCCAACTGAAGTTTCCTTCATCCATAAAAAAGTAAATCCCCATAGCAATAGAAGTATTGCTCTTTCTTATGATGGTCTTGGGAGGTAACTGAGGGAGGATTTGTGGGTATAGGGTATCTCTGGACCTTGCTGGAGTTTGTTTTCACATAAATGCAGCTCCCGTGAAAGCTTTGCTCTTTCCTGGGCCAGAAGCAGCCTCAAGAAGATGTGAACAACAGTCAAAGTGTTTACCCGAGTGTAAACATCTAATGCGATGGCACAGGAGGAGTGTTGAGCCCTGGAGCTTGCCAAGCACAGGAGAAACGAGTGAGGGTACGGTAAAGATGGCACATGAACACCTACCTTGGGGTGCAGATCAAAGAGGTGCCAGGATGGCTAGAGATACAGGTGGGTAGTATAAAGTGTTCACATGACAAAGGATTTGCTTGGACGGGACAGATGAAGAAGAATACACCCAGAATGCTAAATCCCCATGTGGAGTGGGGTGAGTCACACAGGGGCTGGCCCTGCTCCCTCTGGAGTCACTGCAGAAAGTCTTATTCATCTGCCAAAGAGCCGGCGCAGCTGTGAAATACCAGACTAACAGCTGGGGTTAGCTGTTCCAAAATAAACTTGGCTTTTCTGTCCTTTTTCAGCACATACTGACTTGAAGGTTCTTCCTGTGCCTTAAATAAAAAATCATTTATCTGGTCCAGTCCCCATTTTCTGTCTTCATTTTCCCCTCTGTTTATTTTCGTTATGATTTACCTTATACTTAGTGCTGTCTTTGACAATAATTCAAGTGTTATTTCCTTTACCACACACTGTGAAATGAGTATTCCTAGTTCTTCTCAGATTCCTCCTTTTTGTCAGGAGCTTCCCATAAAATGGGTGGTGCATATATTGCTGCTCCAATGCAAAGCACGGCTCTGGTGGAAACAACTACAAGGGCAGCTCCAGAATATGCAAAATGGACCGAGATAACAAGATGTATTTTAAGATGGAGAAAATCATATTGCCAAATATCCATGAGATTCATCAATTATCAGAGAACAATAAAAACAAAACAACTAAGGAGGTGCTAATATTCATATAATTACCAGGACAGAAACAATGTACATAAAATAGGAATATCTGTCGCCAAAAAAGGGTGTTTTCTATACTGCTTATCTTCCGAAGTTTCTTTCCATTAGTCATTTCCTCTGCTCAGAGAAGATTAGAAGTCATGAGCGTCGCTGAGTGCCCTAAAACTTGGTCTGTGTTCAGAAGAAATTGGACTTCAATGAGCTCGTTCCTCCTCCAGTTTAAGGTGATGCAAAGACAGCCTCTTTGCGAAAGGTCCCAAGAGATCCTGAGGGGACAAATTCCACCCATGGTGCAGCTGGGAAATACTAGATTTCTAAGTAGTAGATGAGTAGTAAATCAGATCAGTAGAGCTGGTAGTAAATCAGAAAACATTCACATGGAAATTGTTGGGAAAACCACCAGTGAGAAGTCACTGAGGTTGTGGAGTCGATCTGCCTTAACCCCACGTCAGACTTTTACAGCACCTGGTTCAGATCCAGGCGCCGAGAGGAAGGATTTTTTTGGTTTTTTTTCTTAATACTGAACCCACCTTAGCTGGTGGTTTTTACAAATCTGGTTCCCACCCACTCCACTCCTGTACCTTTCACCAGAAGCCTCCTTGGTCACGGTCTCACTCCCTGTTTTTCCCACATGCACTGGGCTGCGGCAGCTCCAAGCTGGGACCTGGACAGGGACAGACATTACCAGAGAGGTACAGACCTGGGCACAGGGAAGTTCCTGTTTCCTTTTGCCTTTTAAAGGATAGGAGAGAAAAAGGAGAACTGGGAAGAGAACTACCAGCAAGGAGAGCTTTGTAAGGAGTCCTTTCCTCAGACACAGACGGGTTTGAGGCACAGGGAGTGATGTCTTGCAGCAGACCCTCAGAGCATGACAAGTCCTCAGTTCTCTTTAAAACTGGAGGAGAACTGTGTCCCTCATTCCCCTTTGCACAGGACATCCCTCACCAATTAATGGCATGAGTAAAACAGGCTTCAGTTGGGGAAAATTAATTTATTGGCAATTAATAAATTGCCTGTGCCCCCAGCTCAGCTTCACCCCTTCCCTCCAGCCTCCTCTCCCCGCCAGGCGGCGCAGGGGCGCTTGGGGGGTGTTACAGCCCGTACACAGTGGTTTCTCTCTGCTGCCCCTTCCCTCTCCCACGTTTCCCCTGCTGCAGCGTGGGTCCCTCTCCCATGGGGGACGCACACAGGGGCTGCCACCTCCAGAGCCACCTCTGCCACCGCCTGCGTTGGCCTGGAAGCTCTGCCAGGAGAGATTGGAGACAAGAGTTTGAGAAACTTCTGAGGTACCGGTCTGAAAGGAAGGGCAGCCAGATTCTTGAGCTGATTTTCACACAATAGAACAAAAGCAGAATAATAGTATCTGTTCTTTGAAGTTTGGGGTACTTTTGACATCTTCAGTAGTTTTAGCATTTGAACTCTAGTATCAGATGACATCCATTCTCTTAGGGAAAAAACAAGGTGAATGGCATGTTGAGGATTAAGTCTGACACAGCAGATGCCATGTAGTGTCCAAGAGCCCATGCAACAGTCTTGGCCCAACTCTTTCCTTGGCTTAATTCCTTGAATTAACCCCATTCGGATTTCTGCAACCAGTCAGCGCTCCTGCAGGGTTGTGCCACACCATCTGAGACGTACTCACACAGGGAGCTGCCTTCTGGTGAGCCCCTGGGGACGCTATCCAGGCAGAGACCTGGGGAGGACAACATGAATGGAGGAGAATAGCTCCCACATAGATCTCCTGGCCTCCAACACACTGTGGGCATGTTTGCTTCCCCGTTTCTTTTCTGGTTGGGTTTTTTTGTTAAGGAATAAATGTTGGGTAGTGAAGGGAGATTGCTTTTATACTTTATTGCCAAAAATAATTGGGTTTGAAACTAGATTTGAGAAGGCATTTTTGACAATATATGAGCGATGCTATGGCCTTAGAAGTGAGAAAGTTGATGGAAAAGGTCCTGAAACATTGGCCCTAGAGTGAGAGCAAAAAAGCAATCAGACCAGGCAGAGCCATTTTAAAATGCTGTTTATTAAACTTGGCACCCAAAGAGAGTGACAGTAGGCGAAGTAAGCTAGCCACAAAGACAGTTCTCACATTTTAGCATGGAGGAGTCTAAATAAACAAAAGTGCTCTTGAATTTGGGGTTAAGATATGGGGCTAGCAACACGGCTTGGTATAGAGCTAAATTAGACTTATATATTCACTTTTGCCCCCACCCCTGGGATCTAGGGCCCAACGGTTCAAAGGAACCTTCATGTTCTTCCTCTCTTTTTCCTTAGCTTTACATTTCAAAAGATGATCAGGGAAAAAAAAGGAAGAAATTTAGGAGGACATAGTTACTGTGTCATGGGTTTCCC